AAAACTGAACAAGCAACAGATAAAATTGGGTTTTCACAGTTTTATCTGACACCACAAAAACATGAAGTTCTGGGACGCACAGTAATCGGAATTTATGCTCGTAAATCATTTACTCTCCAGCCAAACCAACTAAACACCGTTTTTACTTTCGACAACTATTCTAAAAATGAAGTTTCCATTAAAATACATTCCTAAAACTGTAACATTTAGAAGTTAAATTTGATCGCCTGCTAATAAGATTTTCGATTGTGAACCTGTCAAATCGGAATAAATTGATATCGCGTCCACTAATATGAAATTCATGAAACAGTAAAACTGGTAAAACAACATCACTTTTCTCGTTTCACGCACTAACTGGAAAAATTTGCGTGGTGGTGTTTGCAGATTGCCTACGGTACTCTTCGGATTCATTTGAGCAAACTGTGTAGCGATCCAAAGAGGTGTATACACTACACATCAGCTATATTTATTGAAATTTAGCAAGAAAGTCTCATGATAACATAAAACAAATTTCACCATTTACCTGGAAATGTGAAACTTGCTTACTGTGCGGTGGAGCGCACTAGGCGTCATTCAGAAGACAGTAAAACGCCATAAGCTTGAGAATCTGAAAAAAAACCACAAAAAATCGCGTCGGGTAAAATATAGGAAAGATATAGCGGGAAAACCAAGAAGTCTATAGAATAGAAGGCTTCGGAAACAGTAGATTTATGTTCAGACATGATACTGCTTCTGAAAACATTAGAACTCAATTTTTAAAATCGTCCCTTTTAACAGAAAAAAAAATGCAGAAACATTGTTTCGAGCTATACAGTCAAGGATGTCTTAAATTTGCGGATTTCTCACTGATTGCAATATAAGATTTTCTGATTCAGTTTGAATATTAATTTTGAATCATTTTTTAAAAATGATTCCGAACATTGACGCCGAGCTAAGACAGAAGGACCAGCGATCACAGGATATCGAATAGCTAGAATTAAAACTGAAATCTGTACATATTTTTCCAGTATAATCGGAGACTATAATTTTCAACTGCATAAAAAAAGATTCTGAAACAGTCTACATGATAATGGGTGATACCATTGTCTCGAAATTTTGTCTTATCAACAATAGAGGAGTTTGACTTGTTTGCCAAACGGTTCAAGCTGAGCTACGCGGGCGCAATCGGCTCCGATAAGATACATTAAAGGGATAGCCACACGAAACGTATATTGGACTGAAAAATTGCTTCAAACAACAAACTGAGATGAACACACTAAAAAGGAGACTGTATTCAATCAGAAAAATGGAATCTGAACCAGTAATAAATTGAATACGGTACTCATAAAACTGTTTTAAAATCTGTAAGTTACGCAGTTTAAAAAAAATAAGTTCCACACTTATATATTTTTTCTAGGCACTGTTTCATACTAACTTTATGAGTTTTAACCTCATTGTTACATTCTTTCTCTTGGAGATCATAGATTCTAATGTTAAAAACATGCACTGTCTTCTCAAGAAACTCCGATTTTTTTCCTTCGCTCCCGACTACAGTCTAACTTTATGTGTCAGAATGTATTGAGTTATGCTCTCGGATAGAAAAGTGGTACAATTAAATTTTGTGTTTCAGGCTATTTTTTCAAACATGAAATTAAAGGAACAGATGACTCTGGAAACAAGCCAGGAAATGTCACAACAGTTATGTCATTATTCCGAGAAGAAGCTCAGCGAACCAAAAAAGCTCTTTATGGGAAGATGGGGTCCTTGAGAAAGAAAGATAGGTCCATGGAGAAATATTAGGACTAAAAAGACTTATTGACTTCTTTCAGTTTTATCGATGTTTCAGTTTTATCAAACTTCGTTGTTTAAACATCACTGTTTTTAATAGTACATATCAGTTTACATAAATTTTCGCATGTTTGTCTTGGACCCTTTCCATAGGCTCCTTATCACAAAGATCCAAAAATTCCAAAACTTTCCAACTTCAGTAACCTTAGCTCATAACTACCGTAATCAGAAAGTCACAACTTCTTATTCAACAGCCTCATTGTTTCTACTTAAGATTAAGCATACATCTGATGTTAGCGTCTTTTCCCCAAAGTCTTGCACACTCCTTCACCCCATTTGCTGTACTGAGTTGATGGCCTATGTGTATTGCCCTAATTATTGTAAACGTCCGTCTTCAGATCATAAAACTCTCAAAGAAATTACTCCTCTTCTCTCGTTACACCTATTGTTTTTTTTTTGCGTCAATATAGTTGGAGATTGTCAATGAACCTATTACACATCATCACACTTTTTGGTGGCCTGTATCTTGAGAACCCAGATGGGATGATGATCCCACCTGGGTTCCCCTCGGCCTGCGACTATATAAGCGGAGGTTGAGATTCCTTTAGCCATCATTTCGGTCTTGTTCTTCCTTCCTTTTTATTCATTGCTCACTTATTTGAGTGGTGCACTATTATTCCTAATCTCTATTTCTAATACTGTTCCCTATATCGTTCCCTAACCCTACTTACCCAGTATGAACCCTATTTGTAGATTCTCTTCCTTATATTCTCCCATCCATTTTTCTAGCTCACCCTCTCATCCCGCTTTTTTATGCTATTAATTTTTGAATCCAACAACTTGACTTCTGAATTTCTAGTTTGCCATCCTAGTGTACAAAAATCATAGCCTTTTCCAACAGGCGGATGTAATCTTAACTCAAATCTAATGTTTTCCCTAGCTTCCTCTCTGAGCTTATTACTTTTTGAATCCAAAAAGTTGGTTTCAAAATTTCCACTACCCCCTTTAATGCACATTGCACGCTCTCCCCAGTGAAAAATATGAACTGCAAACCTTTTTCTCAGCGGAGTGCGGTGAAAATTTTTATTTTTCAAATTTTGTACTGAAAAACCGGTTTATAGCAAAATTTCCTCATTTTTCGCCAATTTTTTAAATTTTTCGTCCATAGGAATTGTTAAACCGGCTAAAACACACATTTTAAGTACAAAAGCAGCGAGTTCCGACAAAAAATGAAAGAGGAGATAGATTATTAAGCAATTTTCTAAAAATCGCAATATCTTTTTTGACCGGTAGAGCATTTTGGCGGATAATAGTTCGAAACACTCAAAAATGAATTCTTTACAATAGTTTAACAAAAGAAATTCTTAAAACACCAAAAAATTTGAGAAATTTCCGTTTTTAGAAAATTTCTTAAAAATCTCCTCTTTCATTTTTAGTCAGAACTTGCTGCTTTTATACTTAAAATGTGTGTTTTAGCCGGTTTAACAATTCCTATGGACGAAAAATTGAAAAAAATGGCGAAAAATAAGAAAGGAAATTTTGCTAAAAACCGACTTTTCAGTACAAAATTTAAAAAATAAGAATTTTTCGCCGCGCGCAACCGCGCTCCGCTGAGAAAAAAGCTTGCAGTTCATATTGGGAGCTGGGGAGAGCGTGCATTGTACTACTTCGTGAAAATCTCCGATTTTTTTTAATAGAGAAAAGAAGCATTTAGAAAAGTAAGTTTAGTTTTATAAGTGGTTGACTAGAAAGCATACATGTCGCGGGCCGGCCGGACCGGTGGAGGAATTTTCACTGGCCCGGGTTCTTGAGACAAAAATTTTTAAGAGTCATTTTTTGAGAGGAAACTGGATTTTTGGAAACATTTTAACAAACTTTTTTTTGTTTCCATATTTTTAGCAGGTCTTGGGATAAATTTCGTGATTTGCAATGAATATTTTGAAAAAATGTATCAAAAGTCAACAGAAAAATTTTGAAATAGTCGATACCCGGGCCGGAGGGCCGGAAAAATTTTTCTCCAGCCCGGGCCGGGCCGGGATTTAGCAAGTACGCTAGAAAGTACTAGAACTCAATTTCCAAGTATCCCCTTCTTATTTATTTTCTACATTTTCGGGCTACACGGTACAAAATAAATTGATGACGAGATTTCTGAGTGTGAGAAGAATCACAATTTTAATATTAAGATGTTCCTGAAACATTGACTTTGAGCCATTTTCTAACTCATCTTACTGTAGAACTTCCCATCCATTCTACTGTAGAAAACCCCATACATCTTGCTCTAGAAATTCCCTGCTATCCTACTGTAGTAACTCCCAGCCATCCTAATGTAGGAGGCCTTCTTCACATCCATAGTCATAAAATCTCGATGTACATTACCAAGGGTGTCTTTACCTCGTCAATGCCTCAGTACCTTGAGACTGTCCCACCTGGGACCACCTGAGCCCCGCCCCTTTTGGTTATAGTCAAGATGAGATTCATTTAGTCGTCAGTCATTCATTCCACCTTCTTCCTACTCTCTCGTCTTGGTTGTTCTTATATAGTCTTTCCTTCCAAAAATCGTCTTGCATTTCTAACTCTACCTGAATCTACTATAGCTCCACAGATTCTACTATATCTCAACCCGCTCTATTTTAGAATCTTCGAATCTTTGTTAACACTAAGAATTATATCATTGAGAAACAGTAATTGAAGTTTGAAAAATTTTAGTTTTTAAAACTTGTCTGAACAGTTTATACCCCAATCTCCGAAATCTGGTAGCTCATATTTTAACTACATTTCAATAACTCCAGAAACATTTTTTCGAGCTATACAGTTCAATAATCCGTTGACCATAAGATCTCAATTTCGGATAGTAAAATTTTCCGTTTCACCTTGAGCATAATTTTGAAAAATTTTTAGAAATCGCATTCAAGTACTACATCCAGTCTCTCATCTTTTCCCATAAGGAATGTTACTAAAGGGTGTCTTCACCTTGCCCATTTCTCGGGACCTGAGAAACCAGGTGGGCCCACCTGGACATTAGCCCCGCCCCCTTTTTGGTTATACCCAAGATGAGACACATTTACTAGTCATTCACTCGTCTTGGGTGGTCCTGAGCTACTCCCTCTTTCCAAAGCTTTCTTAATTTCCTCTATCGATTTTCCAGTCTAATATTTTCTGTTTCTTCATCTTTTCATTTCTTAAAAAATTTGTTGTCAAATGATTCTTCCCCATCTAATGATTCATTTTTCCAGATGATGCGCACTTCAAGAACTCCTTCCCAATCATCTGGTACTTCTCAACCGTCGTCTGGTCGCGACTCGACTCTGTCTCCAACCTCAAGCCAAGGGGATCTCATCCCATCGTTGATGTCTTTGACCATCCATCCACCACACAGCGTCAAGCCAAATTACAAAATGATCATCGGAACATCCGACCGCCAAATCTGCCCTCTCAATGGAATGCCGTTGGTCACAATCAGATACAACACTGAGGAGCTTCTCTTCGGATACAACAAAAATAAGGGAAAGCTCAGTTCCCACACTTGTGATGTCTGCGGACCATTGAGCAAAGAATCCAATCTCCAACCAGTCTACTCTGTGTTCCACGATCAGCGTTACGTAATCTTCGCCAGAAACCAAAAAGCTGGTACTGTGGACCAATATGTGTTCAATTCGGAGACTAGAGGATTGGAGCAAGTCAAAATCGATGAGCTCGTTTACCAAGAGGGCATCTGCTATCCATTCATGGCAATTGGATCCGAGAAAGAGTCCATTCAATGGGAAGGAAAACAGTGGAAGAAGCAGCAGTTGACTGCCAACGGATGGGTCAAAATCGAGCCAAAGCCAGTGATCACTTTGAAGACTTTGGAAACCGCTGACCACTCTTCGGATATGCTCGCTGAGCCAATGCGCACAATCTTCTGCCAACATTTCCAGAGAAACATTCTCATCGTCGGATCTCGCGTCTTCAGATTCAATGAGAACGAGCAAAGATTCGATAAGGTCCACCATTCGGCATGCAGGAACAAGTTTTAATCAGCTACATGGTCATAGTCCAGCTCTCAGATTTCATCAGATTATTCAATCGAAGCCATTCCTGGTAAGTTTCTTTTCCTATAGCTAGCAATTAGGGGCGGAGCCTATTTTTTGAGTTATAGAATTTTTTAGTTCAAATTTCAAAATTTCCGTTTTCCAGGTCCTCTACTCTCTTCTCTCAATCAACATCATCAATTAATCATCGCCGAAGTTGCCTCGTCATCCGGAATCTCATAACGAGTTCAATCTTTTATTCTACTCCATATTTAATCTTTTTTTTCAAATTAATTCGTTCAATCAAATCGTTCTATCAATACAGTCATTTCATATTGAAAGTTTTGTTTTTTTTAAATTTTGAAGCACAACAGTTCAGCACAGCCTCAAAACCTCAGTCTGAAGACAGCAAGTAGTCAGAACTTTCAATAGTGCTACCTCGATAAATTTTTCTAAACGAAAAAAAAACCGTTTCAGCTAGTCGTTATCAGTTTTTGGATTTCCAGAGTTGTTTGCTTGTTCATCGTTTGCAATCGATCAAAATTTTTCCTTTTCTTTAGGAAGGATTCCACCAGTTTCACTACTAGATTACAGTATCCTCATAGATCAACTAAAATTTCATATCGAATTTCGTAACAAGGTTCACATGAAATCCATAAATCTTCCATGTTGGGCTTATCACAAACTGAACTTTAGAAAAAAAAAAATTACTGTAACATTTAGCACATTAGTGATCAAGAAAGCGATTCATGTTGCTTGTCAGTATGCATTTCTTTAAATCTGGGTCCTATGAAAGTCTGTGAGCCGCCAGTTGTGTTGATTTCCGAGGCAAAGCGGTAAAAAATATTTCAGACTTTCGCGTCTTTTTCGAAAGTTTAGTTTGGTTTTTGGTAGGAAAACAGACTCTAGAGATGCTAGAAAGCATGTTTTCCAAGAGAAACACGAAATTCGGTTCGAAAAATAAAAAGCTTTTTTTCAACTATTGAATTTGAACATAGCGGAAAAAATCCGATCAATGATAAAATTAACTTGGAACGGAACATTTTAGAAAAGTTGACGCTGATCTACACAGCTCGTAATCACATTTTCATTACCATCGAAAGTTAAGAAAGCCGAGAAACGGACATCCAAGGCTTAAATAAAACTTGGCTTTCGAAAATTGTTTTGAAAATTGTAGGCAATATATCATTTGAATCTTCTGAAAATAGTCATTCTGAAACTGTGATATTTTAATATTTCTTTGCTATTAATTTTAAGACGAAATCAAATATTTCTGTTTTCTATCTATTAGAATAGATGTTCACTAATCCGAAAATGAGCAATTTTTGGTCTACACATTAAGATTATAATCACGGTTAAAAAAATTTCTGCGAAGTGGATTATAGTAATCTGAAATTTTACAAAAAAAAAAGATCAAATCATCTTCCCAAAATGATGTTTTTCAAAATATATCTATCACGAAACATAACTTTTTGCGGTTCATAGAAAGTTCACATAAAAAACGTTAAACTGAAAATTGTAAAAGAAAGGATAAGTCTAGTTTCATGATATGCTGAAAATATAAAACCACCTACCTGAAATTTCTTTGATTTCTGTTTTTCAAGCTGTCATTCTAGGAAACTAAAATAATAATAATAAGTTTACTGTTTCATGTGGTGCTGAAAGTTTTAAAATATAAGTCAATTTCAGTTCAACATCGTATTCCAGTGAATCAATTGACTGTATCCAGTCAAAAATTCACGGCAAATACTCATTAGGTTGATGATCTCTTGCTAAATGCTCACTTGCTAAATATGCTCATCTGCTAAACTCGCTCATTTGCTAAAATAGTCACACTTGCTAAATTTCATTTGCTAAATTTTGATCATTCGCTAAAAATGAAAAAGTGGAAATTTTGCTGTTATTTGCTAATTTCAGTACTTTTTGACTGAATTTTTTACAGAATATTCCGGTTTTTGCTTTAAATTTCAGGCTTAGGCTTTAACACCTGTTTTCCTGTAAAAAGTTTCAGCCTAAGCCTTCAATTTGAACAAGTCCCCTATTTAGCAAATGATCAAAATTTAGCAAATGAAATTTAGCAAGTGTGACTATTTTAGCAAATGTGAGCGAGTTTAGCTCATGAGCATATTTAGCAAGTGAGCATTTAGCAAAAGATCATCAAGCTAATGAGTATTTTCCAAAATTCACATCCCAAAATATAAATAATACGATACAGTAATTTTCAATTTTACAAAGCTCGAATTTCAATAAATGAGAATATTTAATTTTTCCTGTTTTGTAATAATTTGAAAATACAGTTAAAAATTATTCTCGTTTATGTTCTTTCAGATTTATGTCCGACCAAACAATTCATAACTCAAAAACTTAATTTTTTGAATTTTTTAGCAGTGATATTCAAAAATTTTGTTAGATTTTTTCCAGTTTCACATTATGCTGAAAATGTAAACCTATGACTTGTTTTTTGACCCAGTTTAACCATATACTTGTGTTCCAAATTTTCGAAATTTCGAAACAGAAAACATTCATTTGATTCCTCCCAGGAATAAAAAAAAAGTTCCTTTATGAACAAATCACGTTTTTCAGATTTTCTTATCACTAACCAAACTGTTTTACAAACCTAATAAAAATTCCTCATAATAATGTACTTTTGTGGTTTAACTTATGACGATAATTGAACAAATAAATGTTGTAGTTTCTGAAACTTGAGAAGTTTGGCATTTAATAGAACATAATAATACGTAGGTGAATTCTTACCATACAAATATCACAGTTAGCGTTCGAAATCGGGACGCCCGCTTTCGCTGGGCGACCCATTTTAGGGGACGGGGGACGGTCGTCCTCAGCCCTTTTTTCGGGGACAGTACCAAATCACTAACATAGAGTCATAAATGAAATAATTCTTACATTTTTTTGGAAATCATTGTAAAACTAATTTTTTTTTGAAATTCGCATCTTTTGTAGAAATTTGGAAAATCAAAATATCTGTTTCATATTCGTTTTATTTTTGAAAACAACTTTTGAAAAAGATTAACTGTTACGTTTTTTCCAAAATTGCAAGCCAAAAGAAGAGTTTCAGCAAAAAATAATTCTCGGAAAATCCAAAAAAAAAAACATACAATTGTCACAAAAGGGACACAAATGTTTCCAATGGCAGCAAAAAGGTTGAAATTCGAAAAAGGTGTAACTTCATTGTAATCATTTTTTGAAAATTGCCATACATATGAAGCGACGAATCAAAATCAGAATTCACAGAAAATTAAAGTCAACATCTTGAAACAGGTATTTTTGGTAATTGAGAAAAAAAAAGGAATTTCAAATGTTCAGTAAACTCTGGATTAGTACTGGATCAGTGCGATCCAAGAGTGAAACAGAAAAAAAAACGTCTGACAAGCAAAACAAAACTAACTTCCAAAAACGGAATCCCATTTCCCATCCTTTGTCGTCGTCTCAAACAGCTTACATTGAGCTTACAGTTTTTTTCAGAAATTCATTTAAATTTGAAACAACATAGTCATGGTCATATTCATTTTAAGCTCTATGTGCGTTCAGCTGAAAACAACGGTTTTCTTTGTTTTGACAAAAATTGATCAAGTTATGGGCAGTTTTCTCGAGTATAACGCGTTACGGACCCACAATACACATTTTCAAACTTATTATTTTTGTGTTTAATGTGGTTGAAAAACTCTTCAAATTGTTTTTTTCTTGTTCGCGACCTAATTATTTTACTAGACCACGACCAAGTTTTTTCTAGGACATGACCTAATTTTTTAAGGCAGTGACCTAATTTTTTCTAGGTCATGACCATGGCCTAATTAGATCCAGCTCATGACCTAATTTTTTTTTATGTCATGACCTAAATTTTTCCAGGTCATACCTTATTTTTTTTAGTTTATGACCTAATTTTTTTCCAGGTAATAACCTAATTTTTCCTAGGTCCCACCTAGTTTTTTCTAGATCAAGGACCCAGGACCCTTGCCGGATCCCCCAGAGAAAGCGAGGACTGATTGTTCCTTTCAATTCTCTCTTTTTTATAGTATTCTGCCAGAGGTCAAGGGGGCATTCAGAGCCGTGGGTTTCTAAACTAATTCACGTAGTTGTTTTGGTTTAGATTTTTTTGTTTCGAAATTTTTTTTTCCATGGCGTTCTAATAACACTTGAATTTTCACTTTTGAAATCTGTGAAACTGAAACTTTTTTTGATATATTTCACAGGTAACTGACTCCTCTCTGTGAAACACTTTTTCTTTTTGACTCAATTTATCTACCTCCCAGCGAGAAGTATCCAAAAGTGGTGAACTGATAAAATACTTATCACCTTATTAAGAACATTTTATTGGTTGACCAATTTTTGAGATATTTGATACAAACCGAGATAAATTGCCTCAAAGTTGACAATGAAAATATTCCAGCAACAAAACCTTTATTTTTGTTCAAAAATGCTGTCCAAAAAGTTTGAGAAGTTACACCCGAAAGCAAAAAAATGCTCTTCTGTTTCGTAACATTTGACGTGAACTGGAAAAAAGCGGTTTCGGAAATTTGAGAAGTTTGGTGTTTAATAAAACTGAATGATTTCAATGGGATGATGTTAACCACATTATCGAAAAAATGGGTCAGATTTTATCCTATTTTTCACATGAACCGAGATGAATTAGTTCAAAGTTGACAACAAAAATTCCATCAATAAAATTTTTATTTGTTTCAAACACACTGCCCAAAAAGCGCTAAATACCAGAAAAAAGCTTTGAGAAATTACACCCGCCAACAACAAAGAACAATTGAGTTATACATAATTTTCGTTACATACAGAAAGAAATGATTAGAAATTGTGCATCATTGCATTAATTGCATACGTGAAACCAACTCCAGCAGTAATACCAAGCACCAGGGAAAGGGCAGACACTTGACCAGCCAGTTTGGAGTATTCCGGTGGGCAGACGCTGAAAATTTGACTTCCATGATTTTTGATTTTCAGAAATTTCACAATTTCAGGTTCATCTTTTAAAGATTAGATTCCTAACACTAACATTGCTCGTAGGAATTCACTATCAAAAATTTTTTCTTAACCTTTTAAAGTTATTTCATCCAAACTTGTTATATTTAAATGGTGCGCCTTCGGCGCGGTTCAATTCTGTTTTTTACTGGTTCGTGGCTCCGCTACTCAGTTATTCTAAAAGGGTCACGAACATTTATATTTAATTTTCAAGCTTTTCGAAAGTTTACAGACTGAAATGAGGACCGACAGACGCCTCTAGCGTTTTATGTATAGTGAAGATCTACGATTCGTCATTTCCCAATTTTTCCAAACTCACCGCGGCGCATACATCATTCCCAATGATGAAAAATATCCACTTGTGAATGCCATGATTGTATTTCCAAAGAAGAAAATCCATTCGTTGCTATATAAAACTGGCATGGATCGATCATTGGGAAAACAGTTTCCAAACATGAAGAATGGGATGAAGACGAGACGAATCAGACATGGAACGATTAGGAGACGAGGTCCTGGCTGGAAATTGCGAAGATGAGGACAGAGTTCGATTTTTGTAGTAGAAACAATGAGGGAGTATCAATGAAATAACTTTTCAATTCTTAAAAAAAATTGTGAAACAGAAATTTTTCATTTTTGAAATTTGAATTGTAGAAATTTAGAAAACCAAAACCTCGGTTTCATATTAGTTTTATTTTTGAACGCGCTCATTGGGAAGATTAACTACTGCACCTTTCTAAAAATTTCAAACCAAAAGACGAGTTTCAGCAAAAGTATAATTTTCAGAAAATCCAACAAATCCAACTTACAATTGTCACGAAAGTGGCACAAACGTTTCCAATGGCAGCGAGAAGATTGAAATTCAAGAAAGTCGTAATTCCATTGTAGACATTTTCTGAACATTTAACAATTTTATGAACAGACAGACCCAAAACTGACGTATTGAATTCAGAAATTACAGAAAGTAGAAATCAACAACTTGTAACTGGTTTCTTTTTGATATTTTTTTGAATCTTTGGAATTAGTGCCAATTTCCTCCGAAAATAAAAACAAGCACCTTGAAACAGGTGAAAATTTATGACGAAAAACAAAGAAACTCACTTCCAAAAACGGAATTCCATTTTCCATCTTTTGTCGTCGGCTCAAACTCGACCAAAACTGTTGGAAAAACGGACAGCGTCACAAAATATGTAAGGAATACACAGAGACACTGGAGCCAGCACTGAAAAAACGGAAAATTTGATTGCTCATTCCTAGATTTGGATGCTTACATTAAGCTGGAAGTAAGCTTAGAGTACCCCTACAGTAAGTTTGCAGTAGGCTTGCAGTAAACTTACATTAAGCCAGTAAGCTTACATTAAGTTTAAAGTAACCCTACAGTAAGCTCGCATTAATCTTACAGTAAGCTTACTGTAACCCTACATCAAGCTCACAGTAGGTTTACAGTAACCTTACAGTAAGCCTACATTGAGTTTACAGTAAGCTCACAATAATCCTACGTCTAGCTTGCATCAAGCTTACAATAACCCTGAAGTGAACCTACGGTATGCTTACAGTAACCGTAACAAAAGTGAACTAACATATTTAAATGTCTCCAAATATTGCCTGTAGTCGAATGAAGAATTTTCTTGAGCAGCTCTTGCTCGGTTTCCTTTGGC